GACAGAGTGTTCCACTATGTAGCCCAGGCTGGCCTCGAACTCACAGTGATCCTCCTGCCTTAGCCTTCAGACTGCTGGGACTACACGTGTGTGCCATATGCCTGGCTCAGAGGAGTAATTTTAAATTTAACTTATTAATTAAAGTAGGTGATATGCAACTGACCATCAGTTGCCGCTTGAAACCTCGGAGTGCTGCTCCCCCATATGTGTTATGCTTTTTGATGCACACACATACCTGCAAACAAGTTTGATGTATACATTAGGTACAGAGATGAACAATGATAACTAACAAGATAAAACTAACAAAACAACTATAACAATGTACTGCAGTAAAAGTTACTTAAAACTTACGAGTTATCTCTGGAATTTTCCACTTAATATTTTTGGAAGTGGTTGAGCACACGTGAGTAAAACTGTAGAAAGTGAAACCGCAGTAAAGGGGGGACTGCTGTAACCCTAAAATCAGCGTAGTTGGACGAAAGTTGAACGAAAGGCGCTGTTCAGTGTGTCCCACGGTAACGCGAGTAGTTAACGCCTCCTCTACTTTGGGCACAGTTCCCCAGAAGTGCATGTTGTGCAGAAGTCAGGTTTCTCAGAAGGACCGAGAGAGGCTTTTTCCACATCTCTCTCGTGACCCTGTCGGGTTTGGGGATGTGGGCACCTCGGTCCTGGAGCTTCCGGAGGGTGAGGAGATACTTCAGCCCCAAGTGGGAGCAGTGGGTTTTCCCAGGCGGCCTTGTTCCCTCTGCCCGAATGATGATTGTCACTGTCCTTTTGTAAATTCCGGGAAGTCTTTTTCATTTTCTGGATCGCGTTCTGTGGGGGTTGTCAGCATGTATCTCGAGTTTGCCCCCAGCTGCCTGCAGGAGGTGCCTCGTAGCAGGAAATCGAGGGCTGCATGAGTGAGTGAAGCTCCGTGTTGGACAGGCAGCTTCCTGACCCTCAGTGCCATGTCTTCTTCGGGGACAGGGGTAAATAAACAGGCAGGCTGGCAGTGTTTTCTATTTCCACCCTCAGTTGGACAGTGAATGGTCTCTAGAAGATTACTGAAGGGCGGAGGAGAAAAGCCTAGGAAAGAGAGGATTTTGTCATCAGTCCAAGTGGAAAGATCTGGTCTCGGTAGGACGGCGTGGGCCAGCCTGATAGCAGTCTTGTCCCAAGCCACCATCTCAGGTCTTGTCCACTTAGGTCGTGGCCTGCGGTTCCCATGAACTCACTTGCAGAGAGGCTTGTGCCTTCTTGTGCCTGACAGAGTTTCTGGCCGCTTAGATATTTCGGAATTCTTATGTGGGCTGACTGAGATGCATTCACCTCAGGAGAGGTGATAAGAAGAGGGCAGCCAGAGGACAGCAAAACACAGACACCCTGTCTCTGCTGTCTTGTGTGTTGTGTAAATTCTGCATCAGCTTCACTCAGACCCAGAGGCCACTCTGGAGAGTTCCAGGGAGACACCCTTGGCAGCATGCTTTTAGGAGTGTGTCCGTTGCTGGCTGTAGTCAGGGTGGCCGCCCCGCTTATGTTCTTCCCTTGATCTGCTTGAAAGCCGAGGGGCAGTTCAGTGCAGGTCCTTTCCCTCTAGCCAGGAGACCCTGTACATGAATACACAGAGGGGGTTGCGCTGCACATTTCCCCACCCCTCCTAAATCCAGTGAGGAGCGGAAGGTGGTCCCTGACCAGGGCCTCTGCAGGGTCCCAGGCTCAGCCTTGTACTTAAGAGCTCACCAGTGCTGAGGTAGAGGAGGAAGCCTTCGCCTTCACCTTCACCTGTGGCTGCCTGAGCGTTCAAGGGCAGCGCCGCAGGCTCATCCTCTTCTGGTGCTCACTGGTACTGGTGGTGAGGCTTTTAGCAAAATTGCTTGGTTTTCACTGGCTGAGCTACACTTGCCCATGTAATCCTTTAATCCCCTTAAATTTCAACACACACAGATGACAGATATTTAAATGCTGTGTTGGGGCTGGGGATTTAGCTCAGCGGCACAGCACCTGCCTGGCAAGCTCAAGGTCATGAGTTCAATTCCCAGTACCAGAAAAACAAAACAAAACAAAAAAAAGAAATTAAATGCTGTGGCATATACCAATGAACATACAGTGTCCCTAACTCTACAGGGACAGCCACCTCTGAAAAAGTCCCGCCTGTGATCACATGAGGCATTGGGGGAGACAGGTAGACACAAGCCATAGCAGAGGGGTTGAACTTTCTAATAGATCTTTTCCATTTGGTCCTGGTGTGTCTTCAAAAGCATTTGATACCCAGAGCTTTTACATTAAGAGCAAGCACATGCAGTTGAAGCATGGTACATGTCTGAATTTGAGAGTGAGTGTCTCTCTGTGACCGAGCCACCTTGATCTTGCACTTAGGTTGCAGTAGTAGCCTGCTAGCTGGTCTCCCTGCTTGCAGAAGTGCCCCATGGCTGGTGTGTTTCCTCCCATGTCACCTCGGGAGGGGGGGCCCCTCCTGACCCAATTTGAACTTGCACATCCCAACATGGTCACCTGCTTTCTGCCCCCCCTGCTTTTTTCTATTTTCATATTACATACAAATTTATGAAACTTCTGTGGCAGTTGACTTGGCTTTTGGAGTAGTAGAGCTAACCTAACCAGAGAGGCGTTGCGGGAAGTGGCCCTGGGGAGACCTGTAGGAAAAAACCCCAGTACTGAACCCACACACTGGATGACAGCGCTGGCTGGAAGTAAACATTCCTGATATGACCTGGGACTGCTGGGGCTGTGGACATGACCTCGCACCCTTCACCTGTCCTTCTGGAACGCGAATGCGCTCCTTTGTGGTGCTGGGTGGACCCCTGTCTCATGTCATGGAGGATTCCTTGGACCACATTCTCAAGGTTAGGTGTCCGTGTAGTCCCGGCTCCTGCCTGAGTCCCATGGCAGAACATGGGGTGTGTGGCCTTCCTCCCCGTGCCCTGCTGCTCCCCACTGTCGTCATGTATGCTCCAGCCCTTCAGGGTTCTCCTCCTGTTCTGCAGGTACCGCCCACCCCTTGCTGCCTTTGGCCGGGAACTGAGTGTGTCTCAGGCCCAAGAGCATCTCGGCTGTGGCTGGTAGATGTGTCCTGTTCCAGGCACTGGCTCTGTGGTCTGCACTGGGCCCTTGCGCATAGAACATCCAGGAGTGATTTTTCATTTTTAGCATCCTGTGTTTAACAGAGAGCCTCTCGAGCCTCCTTCTTTTAGCACTTCGAAACCTGGCTCCTAAGCTAGATTCTTGTATTTACATCTCAGTCTCCAGTTTAAAACTTGTTGATGTGTTTTTAAACAGAGGCGTTCCCTCACGTTGGTAGGAGGGGAGATGGAAGGGTGTGACTGTCACAGTGGCCTAGTTGTGTCCTGGGAACTCTGCTCTGTAGCCTCCGGGGAGCCCTGCTGCTCAGGCGCTGTGTTTCAGGGGATGGGGCGGGCTTCCCCTTGATCCCTTCCCCGTCTGTCTTCACTTTTCTCCGGGTGAGTGCTAAAGGATTTCAGTTTCGCACAGGGACCCAGTTGAGCTCATTCAGTACCCTTCCCTAAATGATGTGATTGCTGTTTAGCTACTGCTGATTACACAAGCCCCCCGCCCCAACTTTGATGTAGCAGGACCTTCTATCCTTCATTTCAGGTTTTCTGTAGAAATAGCTGATCGCGCTTTCCTTATGAGTTGGAAATTGGGCATAAGGCCCATTCCTCTGGGTACTCAGGAATGTTCCCTGTTCCTGCTTTCTATTTAAGAGATTTCCTGATTGATAGGCTGTCTTGGATTCAGAAGAACTTACTTTATTTTAAATCCAAATACAGCAGTGGTCACCAAAGAAACTGAACCTCTTTAGTTTTTAATTTTTGTAGCATTTACCACGTTAACTTTCAGTAATACAGCACCTGTTTCTCTCATGCGTGTTGTGTTTTATTGTATATAATCATCACATAGTGTCTCTAATACGTATATTTGCACCTATACACTCATACAGTATTGGTGTATCTCCAGCCATCCCCAGCCATTTCTCTGTGCTGTAGACTGCTCTGTCTTCACTTAGTCCCACCAGTGAAAACTGCATGCACGGATGTCTACGGCTGAGCTTGTCTCCTCCTCCCCTAACGACCACGCTTTTTCTTCAGCATCTCTTTCCTGGGTGAAGGGCCTCACTACCTCTCCACTCACCGGGGATTCTCATACCGTTTCCTACCCTCCTTCATCAGATGCATTTCCAAAGCCTGTCGACTTTATGTCCAGAAGACTCTTGAGTCTGCACTTTCTCCTGCTTACTTAGTTCCTAGCTGCAGTAACATGCGGTCCTCCTGTTGCTCTTGCAGGCCTAGAGCTGTTCCAGGTTTCCTGCTGCTGTTGTAGATTTCACGGCGACCCGCCACTGGTGCCTTAAGCCGGCTCACAGCCTTACTGACCTCTTCTTAGAGCCCTTGTGCATGTCATCACTGTCCTGCAGGGGCTCTGGCACTTACCTGTAACCCTTCAGCATCTGCTTTCAGGATGGAGTCTGCATTATTGATGTAGGAGCAACCGCTGCTTACTTGTCCAGCTGCACATGGGAGGCATCTGTCCCCCTGCACTCTGTCTTCTATCCCGTGTCAGTGTGCTGGTCACATGGTCCAACCTGAGCCCCTGCCCTGAGTCTCTCATCTCCATGGCTTTGTGCACAGGTGCCACCCTCCAGGCCTGACTGTCCCCGCCCTCCATCTTATCCTTCGGTCTCCCACCTGTGTTTCATCATTTCTGAGAAGCTGCTCTCAGCCCCTGCCCCGCCCTTGAGGACTGGAGACAGGCTTGTTGTATGTGACCTTCTTGTGCTCTCCATATGCCACAAGAGTACTGACACCAGACATAATTTCTGTGTGCCTCTTGCTAGATTGGAAAGACTGAAGGAGAATAATGACTATGTGGAAGAATTTACTGATGACAAAATGTCAAAACTGCTATCTCCCTTTGGAAAAAATTTTTAAGAGTGTAGGTAATAAAATATTTAGGAAATTGTTGTTTTTTTTTCCATCTTTCAGCTTTAAGATGTAAAAATTTGAAGGAAATGAATTTCATTGAAACTGCTGGGTCAGACTGTTACTGCTACAACCCAGATTCTCAAGTGCACTGGACGTATATGTGGTCAACTCTGCAGGTAAGGCCTAATGTGAATCACGTCTTAAGGACAGGAAGTGAGAGTACACCATTGCAAGAATAAAAGGTACAGGTGGTGTGCGATGTGGCCAAGTATCAGGATGAAAGCTGACATCCGGAACACACACAGTAGCTTGAGGAGGGGTGATGTGGAAGGGGATTAATGCCTCCACAGGCTTCCCCAGGCCCTCGGGGACCAAGTGAATACACTATCTAGTGAATATGGTGTGGCAGATTACGGTATTCAAGGAAAGGTCAGAGTGGTTCTCATTGAGGAGGTAATATTTAAGAAAAAATTTCAGTGAAGTGAGTTAGCCAGAGGGTGTGTGGGGAAAGAGTGCTCCGGGCTTGGGGGACAGGAGGAATGCTGTTATCAGGGGGTGGGCAATGTTGATTTGCCCCACTATCAATAATGTATACCACTTTAATCACTCAACGCAGTGTTCGTCATGTCTTTCTACTTTACAATTACTGCCGTTTTCCCTCAATGAATGAATATTTTGAAAAGACAGTTTCCAACTATAGATACTCTAGTCCTCATCAAACTTCTACCCCTTAGTTATATAATCTATTAATGATGCTTTCTTGAGTTGGTTATTATCACGATGTTTATCAAATGGTAATTTTCTAGTTCATTCATTCTTTTTATATTCATTGGCATTCTACTAGGGAAGAGTTTTTCTCCTTTCTATTTGTTACTTTCTTGTTACATATGTAGCCTTATGAATTGCCAGTTCAGTGGGATACAAGCCATTTTGGTACTCAGATTGTCCCAGATTTGGCCAGTGGGAACTCCTTCAGACTAGTTCTGTGTCCCTGTAACTCGTGTCTGTCACTTTTTGAGCACTATTTTATTTTCTAGCAAACAAGATATTTCATTGTTTTGTTTTGTTTTGTTTTGTTTTTCTTCTGGTACCAGGAATCAAACTCACGACCTTGTGCTTGCCAGGCAGGTGCTGTGCCACTGAGCTGAATCCCCAGCCCCTGAAACAAGATATTTCAGGTTCATACAGTTTCCTTGACCCAACCCTGCAATCATACGTTTTCCCAAGGAACATTCAGCATGAGGTGTGTTGATTGCTACTGGGATATCATTGCCATGCACCATGACCACACACACACACACACACACACACACACACTCACTCATATTCCTGCACATCCATTTGTTTCTCTATGCCGGTTTACAACCATGCGTTCTGAGAGCTCCAACACCACAGGGTTCCTTCTAGCCTTCCATTTTCCATATTTGTAACTTTGCACCATCCTCATTTATTTGCCTAATATAGAATATGTTGAAAGAAGTTTCAGAATTGCTGAGTCCTACTGTTGCAAAAAACAAACCTAGGAACAGAACCTCGATATTTATAGTGTTTTATCTATACGGCAGTTTGAGGGCATAAGAGTCTTAAGTTCTCAGCTCTTGGGTTAGTTAATTCCCATCCACCCCTCTTCAGTATAGCTGTATCATTCATGCAAATAACTGTTGTTGTTGTTGTTGTTGTTGTTTGTCTTTTTTGAGATAGGGTCTCACTATGCAGTTCAGGCTGGCCTTGAGCTCACTTTGTAGCCCAGGCTGGTCTTGAATTCACAATGAGCCTCTGCCTCAGCCTCCCAAGTGCTGGCATTGCAGGTGTGCACCACCATGCCCAGCTTAATACTATTTGTTTCTATGTTTTCATTTCAGAATTTATACCCATTGTGGTTGATTATAGTTTTTTTTTAGTATATACAACATTAATATGCCTTAAAAGTCAAAGCTCTTCACAAAAGTATTCCCAGAGAAAGGAAGATCATTTTCTCAGCCCCAGGCCCTTCTTTCAGTCTCACCCAACCCTCTAGGCAATCATACCTTAGCTCTTGGTACCTTTCCTGTGTTTCTTTACAAAAGTAAGCAGCATTATATCTTTATAGATAGTACTTAAAACTATAAGACTAAGGGGGTGAGATTAGATGAAGAACAGGACTGTGTTAGTTTTTCATCACTGTAATGAAATAGCTGAAGCAAGCTTGCTTTATAAAGAAAAGAGGGTTTTTTGGCCCATAATTCTGGAGGGTAAAAGTCTGCACAGCATGGCCCAGACTCTTAGGAGGGCCCCCATGGGCTGCAGCACCTCATGGTGGTTGACAGAGGCGGGAGCACATGTAAAACAGGAAGCCAGGGAGATTCAAGGGTTAGTTTCGTTCTTCTAACAACTTGCTCTAGAGAGAGCTCCAGCTGTCCAGTGATCTGAGGACCTCCTGGCAGGCCTGCCCTCTTAAAGATGCCACTACCTCTCAGCACCACCACACTGGGGACCACACTCCCACCATATCCAGATGGCAGCCAGAACTGATGGCTGAGCCTGTGTCAGTCAGGGAGAAGAAAGGAGTTAGCAAAAACAAGAAGGAACAAGAAGTGCAAGTCCTGGGAAGAAAGTATAACTGAGAGAAGGGAGTGACCAGCAGTGCCAGAGATGAATTAACTCAGCATGCAGTTTAGTGGCATGGGAGCACTGCTGTCTTCGTCAGGACAGCCTGTTGGGTGAAACTGACCAAAGTGGGCCAAGCAGAGAATGGGAGGAAAGGAACTGAAGACTGCAGACATGGGCAACTCGAAAAGGAATTGTAGTGTAGTGAGAAGCACAGAATTGGGAGAGAGCAATGAGAAAGTGGAGTTCTTAGAAGATTCTGATTGTTGTTGTTACTGTTTTCTTTTTTTAAAATAGGGAAATATAGGGATGATCTAGTAGAGAGAAGTGCCAGTGAGATGCACCTGAGAAGGCAAGGTGGCCATTCAGGGTTTGCCTTCCGTGGAGCATTTTCACTTCCTCTGTGGCAGAGAGCCTGTGGCTGCAGATGTTGATAGGCAGGTGGCTATGGGCAGAGGAGCAGGGTGACACTGACTGCTGAGAATGAGCATCAGCTGGGAATGAGGATGGGGAGCTGCTGAAGTCTCAGGGAAGTCATCTGTTGAGGAGAGAAGATGAATGACTGCATAAGAATGTGGGGTATGGACAGCTGCACCTTCCAGGTCCCACTTTGGGCTCACTGTCAAGCATTTAAAGCAAGTCCACTGTGTGTTTCTGCACTGGATTTGGTGGCAGAAATGCAGGTGTGGAACAGGTGAAGAGTTGTATTTTTCAGGAGTGTCTTGGTTACTTTTTTATCGCTGCTGGGACAAAATACCTGACGCCCAAAATTAAGGAAGGAAAGGTTTATTTCGCTTACAGTTCGTGGAAGGTTCAGTCTGTACTTGGCAGATTATAAGGCAGAGTGGCACATGGCAAAGAGCTACAGCTCAGGGCGGCAGAACACAGCTAAGCTGCAAGCACACACCAGGGTGGAATGGGGGAGGAATGCCCTCAAGCACCCTTTTCCTCTCCCTTACATATGCAAACTATCCACCCCAGGGTGGGTGCAGCTCTCACACCCCTAATCAATCAAACTTTAAAAGCCTGCCCCATGGCCGCTTAAGGCTTTGGGGGGACACACAGATTCAAACCATAACAAGGAGAAAGCAAGGAGTTATGGTTGGCTTATGTTGATCATGGGATTTAGGTAGCTAAGAAGGGACTGGGGGCATACAGGAGGGGAGGAGCAGGGAAAAGATGTGCTGATCCCTGGTGGAGGGCACAGTGCTAAGGGGGCACACTAGAAAGACAGCAGGTGTTGTGTGGTGGCTGCAGTTTGCTAGGTGGATCTGGGGTACAATTATGAGAATGATTAACTAGGTGGGGTGGAAAACAAAAGCACACAAAGAAGGAGTTCACAGAACTGGGAGACCCTTATATGTCTTTTGGACACAGTGACTTGGTAAAAGAGATATATTAGTCACTTTCTCAATTTTGGGACAAAATACCCAACACCTACAATTGAAAGGAGAAGTTTATTTGGCTCAAGGTTTCAGATGATTCAGCCCATGGTTAGCTGGCTCCAAGGCAGAAACAGTATGGTAGAAGGGCATGCAGATAGGAAGCAGAGAGGAGAGGGAGGAGCCAAGGACAAGAACACACCCTTCCAGGTTACACTCTCAGTGATCCGCACCTTCCGACCAGACCCCACCTCCTAATAGCACATTCAGCTAGGGACTCACCAGTGGATGAACTCACTGATGGGTATAGCAGCCCCATGATCCATCACCTTCCAAATGCATGAGACTTTCGGGGTACATAAGAGTTAAGACAGCTACAACTCAGGAGAATAAGCATCCATTTTCAAAGGTGTTTGTGGCTCAGTGTGTGTTTGGACTACATGTAATTATTTAGGGTCTACCTCCAGGACCGGTACATGACTATGTATATCTGTGTGTCCTTTCCTCAGCCAGCCTTTGATTCTCCCTCCTCTGCCCGCCTTTTTAAGAAGCTTATGAAAAAATTTTACTTTGGTGTTTATGGATTTGTTTGTTGTTTTGTAGGTGAACATCAGCAGTCCAGTCCTCCTTAGTATTGTATATATCACAGAAAGACATAATTGCCGGTATCCAGAAACAATTCTATCTGTTATCAAATGTATAATCCATAACTTTTGGACACCAAAGGAGTCTAATAATGTAATGATAACCATCAGTCCATACAAGGAGACTGTGTGCTTCATGGTGAAGCCCAGCAAGAAGGGCTTTGTCTATGCAATAAGTGTGAATCGAAACAGTAAGTCTGCTTTTGTTATACCTGACTAACTGGATTCAGTTTTTCTGGAATGGCTGTGTCTTCTTTTACCAATATTATATTGACACAAAATACTTGTTGTGTGTGTCTCTTTTATTCCAGTTGTGGATTTCAAACTCTTCCTTGTGTTTGTGGCAGGCATTGTCCTTTACTTTTATGCAAAGACCTTGAGCCAGTAAGTATTCATTTTTACTTTCTTAACTTCGTGATTTCAGAAGGGGATGGGCATGTTTGACCCTCTGCTAAATGTCTGCATACCCCTGTAGGGCTTGTACTTCCTGCTTTAGGTTTTGCAAATAGATCTGAAGATAGTGTTTAAATATCTGTAAAGACAGCAACAGTTATTTGTATAGCCTGATGTCTTCATGGTACCTAGGGCTTTCACATACATTATTTTGTGCATTAATATTTCCATAACAACTGTGTGAGCTCTGTGTCATTGTTCATATACTGATGATTAGAAAACCAACATCCATCTCCACATGAGCAGTTCTTATCAAAGCCAAGCTTCATACTCCTGCTTTCTGATCAAGCTGCTTACTCTGTTACATTACATGTAGCTCCAACACAGAAGTTTGAACATAACAAATATCTGACTCTTAGATAATGTTATTCTGATGTTTTGTTTCTTGCTATTTTCCTCATGAAAAAGCATTCTCTGTCTGTTTTACTTCTTAACCTGCTCATGCTAGTCAATACCCAGTGTCTGTCAGCTATTCTTGACAGCGTTCACCTTTGTGCTCTTCCTAATAGCATAATCAGACCTGTGAATGGCTGGGCATCATCCCAGAGCTTTGCCAGCCTGACGGTGTGTGCAGTACACAGGGAGAGTGGAGCTGGGACTCTGAGGAGTGTGCTGCCATCCTAGACCTGCAGTGGGCACATACTCACTCAGGAGGGGTGTGTGGGGGTATTGGGCTCCCACCTGGGGTCCTCGATTACTGAGCCACATCTCTAGCCTCCCTCTTTTATTTTATGAAAAATATTTTCATAACCACATAATAAGAGAATATGTTATTATACTGTGTATCATTATCTTCAAATATTCAGTACAAGACAAAACCAAAGATTCTTACAAAAAAGAAACAGGTAAGAACACAAACTTTCTTTTCACTGAACTAGGATAAACTTTTAGTAAATGTGAAATAATTAGCATATATATTGAAATAATTTTAAAACAACAATATATAATTTGGGGAAGTATTTGAACTTCTATATAAGAAAAATCATGCAGTATTTGAGTTTGTGTGTCTGACTTACTTCATTTAACATGTTCTCAAATTGTGTCTATTTATGTATGAATGCCTCAATTTTATCTTTCTTTATGGCAGTATAGTACTCCATTATGTATAAATACCACCTTTCCCTTATTCATTCATCATTCATAGGCATATATGCTATTTCCGAGAAAGCTATTATAAATTGTGCTGCTATACACATGTGTATGCATATATCCCTGTAATTTGATGATCTTAACTCTTTTGGGAAGATACTTAGGGAAATACCAGGATCAAATGGAATTTTGACATTCGGATTTTTGAGAAAACTCTGCACTCATTTCCATAGAGATTGCACTAGTTGATATTCCCACCAACAATGTAGAAGAGTTCCTTTTCCCCACATCCTCACCAGCACTTACTAATTTTCAATTTTTTGATGGTAGCTATTCTTTCTGGAGTGAGATAATATCTCAGTGTGTACTTTTAATTTGTCTTTCTCTGATCCTGGCCCCTTTTAAATCTTTATTTATTTATTCTTTATTAATTCATTTTTTCATTTTTGAGACATGGTCTTGCTAAGTTGCATGGAATTGGATCCTTCCGCCTCAGCCTACGACAGTCCTACAATTACAGTTGTGTGCCACCATGCCCAGCTGAGGGGAGAGCACGGCTTGATTCTTTAACTTCCTCTATAAAATATGGACGTGGATGACTGTGGGCGCATGGCTGTGTCTCAGACAATCGGCTCCTACGTGCCCGGTGCTCAGTTATTATCAGAGCACACTCTGAATAGAGAAGGTAATTCAGGCATTCAGTTTGGAGTTAGTGACAAGGTATTTGCCATACATTTCAAATATTGACTTCAATTTTAAGAATAGAAGATGTAATTAGAGTTGCCCTCTGTATTTTTCTGTCATAGTATTGTTTATGGCCGCCATTGCCGTATCAAGTGTGTGCTCCATACAGAAAGTGCCTCTCAGCGTTTAAACGGTTTTTATCTTTTTGTCTTGACAGAAGCCCCATTTTCTATTACTCCTCAGGGACTGTGCTAGGTGTTGTAATGACGTCAGTCTTTATCCTGCTATTGGTGAAAAGATACATCCCAAAGGTAGGTTCCTATGTGCAGATGAGTAAAACGTGGAAACCATGACCTCGCAGATAGGAAAAACGAGTGGAAACTATGTAGCTCACATTATGCATTTCTTACTTTAATCTATGGTCTTCACTCTATAAAGTGACTTTAAAATGTGTCTTTTGTGAAGAGTCCACTTTTAATTATTACTATATGTAGGTTTAAAGTATTGGTGATATATTTTTTGGGGACTCTTTTCTAGGTAGTTTTTTTAATGAATGAGACAGATTCTGTATTGAGTAAAAGCTTTTCTCATCTTGGCAGAGCTTAGGAAGTTCATGATGCTAAATCTTTGGGACCTTAATTAACAGCATTGTTGCATCTGGGTTTTTCTTCATGATAAGTAGTTCTCCAACACACCTGCAATAAAATGAGATCCTGAACTTAGCTGAAGATAAAGTGTATTAATTCATGATGGTAATGTTGCATTTACCTGTTAAAGCTTATAGCACCAGCATTGCTTTGAGATGAATGTGTTCCTTTGACTAGTGCTTCTCCAACTAAAATACGCATGCCAGTCCCAGGGATCCTAGGAAGGTGCAGGTTCTGGTCTGCAGTCTGCCGTGGGACTGGAGAGTCTTCATTTCCCACAATCCCCCAAGCCGAGCTACATTTCCCACAATCCCTTGGGCAGAGCTGACACTGCTGTCTGGGGACCATACCTTGAGTCACAAAGGGCTGGTGACTTCAGTTTGGTGCAGAAGTTTCTAATACAAAAGGTTTATTTGTTTGCTTCTATTTTTGTAAGAGTGGCCAAACCAAAAAATATGTCATTTATTTTCTTCCACACACAGTATAGCACCTTTTGGGCTTTAATGGTTGGTTGTTGGTTTGCTTCAGTTTATGGTATATACCAATTCATGGAAGAGCTGAAGTGGCTGTGGTACAGAAACGGAATATATATATTCGGTAGGTAAATATTTTTAAAACTGCATTCTATTATGGTGAAGCTGGAAAGTCCAACTACAAGACTTGTTTTGACGTGTGTTTTTCTCTAGCATCTAAATTTTCATTTAGGGGAAGATGCTATTAAAATAATATTTTTATTTTACTCTCATAATTGATGATTTGAGTTCATTTAGACTTCATTTTAAACATTTCTCTATAATCTTTCTTAGTTTTCTAGAGTAATGACCAGAAGAATAAAAAAAGCCAAGCATAGCAGTGCATCCTTATAAACCCAGCACTGTGGCTGAGGAAGGAGGACTACATGTTCACCTACAGCCCGGACAATTTAGCAACTTAGCAAGACCTAGTATCAAAATTAAAAATAAAAAAGTCTGGAGATAGAGTCATTGTGAAAGCCCTGGGTTCTACCCCCAGTCCTGGGAAAAAAAGTTGAAAAAAAAATTTGTCCCTGTGACTGCATATGCTTCTGAGTTGTGGTTAAGCTCTGACCACATCTAACTTGTAATGTAAAAATTGCTCAAAAATGTGACTTATTTTCTTTTTTCTTAATTTATTCAGTGTGAAAGGTGAGAAATTCTAAATATAAATTCACAGAAAAAACCCCTTGACTCTTCAAAAACAGAGAGGCTAAAATATTCCTTTACCTTGTTTTATTTTACCAAAACAATTTTTTTACCATTGAAAATAATGGATGAGAGAACCTTTAGAACCAAACACACATACATAAACCACCCCTAAAACAAAAGCAGCTGTATCTTTATCTTAGAACTTTACGCTTTTATCCCGCCCCCCCCCCCCCCCCCCCCCCCCCCCCCCCGCGATCCTCTGCAGTGCTGCAGCTTGAATCCAGGGCCCCATGCACACTGAGCGAGCGCTCCGCCAGGGCTGTAACCCCAACCTCGTAGTTTTCTCTTTATGTTAGATAGTTCCAAGTAAATTACAGATACCATGGTACGCACCTCTAAATACTTAACTGCACGTCTCTAAAACGCAGGAACATTATCTGTGGAGTCAAATAACTTTCGTTCTGTGTGCTGCAGAGGATTGAACCTGAGCCTGGTGCAGGCACACAATCTACCACTAGGCTGCAGACCTTGCCCCACTATTACAATTTTTAAAAATTAATCATTATATAAATCATCTCTTACCCAGGCCATATTAACATTTCCCTGTTGTGCTTGATGGCTAATTTGAAAAAAAACAAACCAGTATGTAGTATAGAAAGATAGTTTGCATCCATTATGTTCTGTAAATCTCTTAATCCATAGTAGATTTTTTTTTTTTTTTTTTGGTACCAGGAACCAAACTCAGGACCTTGCGCTTGCCAGGCAGGTACTTGTACCAGTGAACTATATCCCCAGCCCAGTAGTTTCTTTTTAAATCATGGTGGTATGCTGAAAAGACCAAGCAGGTTATCCTTTAGACTTCCCACTTTCCAGATTTACCTGATGACTGATGGAGGCATAATTTCCTCCTTTCTGTCCCCCTGCCCATTTTCTGTACATTGGCAATTAGATCTCGAGGTTTGCTTATATAATTTATCGCTGTCGGGTGGAATACCTAGGAGGCGACGTGTGCTTTACCTTGCCCCACATCTGAAGACACAGAGTACCACATAGTCACACATTAGCGATGGTGAACTAAGCCCTGGGTTAGGAGGGTGACTGTCTGACCCCTCCACTGTAAAGTTACACTTTCCATCTGTGACTAGAAGATAAAACAATGTAAAGTAGGGTTAATAGCAGACAGTGAAATCCACTGTGACTTATTTCTGACCAAAACAACCATGATAACATTTCCCCATGTAAGACACTGGGCTAAAATGAGACATGCTTCAATGAGAAAGGATCAAAAACTACAGTGAATGTTCAAATTTTTAAAGAATTACGAGTGCCCTTAGTTATGGCTGCCTAGATGTCCTGATTCAATTCAGATCATTCACCTTTCATGGTCATTTTGACTTTGGGAAGAGCTAGGAGTTCCACAGCGCCAGACCCAGTGAATAAGGTGGATGAGGACACACTATCGTGTTTTTATGAGCCTGTCTTTCTGTGGGATGGCACGCATCAGGGACATTCATCATTTTTTAATGATGCTTCATAAAGACACTTGCCAAAGATGAACTTCCAGGACTGGCAAGAACGATAGGATGTGTGTTTGAAGCAAGGGGGATTGGTGGCAATGTTTCTTATACTGTAATACATTTTGTAATTCAGACATTCACTGTATATCTTGATTATATTCTTATCATAATTACAAAGCCTACATTATTACCAAAGGTAGCTTAATATTTCATTTGGAATGAACAAAAACTCTAAGGTAAGGTTTCTGGAAGCATTTCCCTTAGGTCAAGGCTTTCGAAGGTTTACACATTTCAAATTTACATTTATGCCTACTTCTTTTCCAGGCTATGTCCTGGTAGTTGCATTTTTAAGCTTTGCTGCCTGTTACAAACACGGGCCCCTTGAGGCCAGGAGCAGAACTCTCCTGAAGTGGACGCTGCAGTTGCTCTCCCTGGTCCTGATCTACGCTGGCGTGGCAGTGCCGCTGTTCGCCTACACCGTGATGTTCGTGCTCCTGTGCTCCCCGAGTCTGCCCTACACCCTGAAAACTCTGAGCTGTCTGAAGCGGTAAGTGTCGGTTTTGCTCCCAGTAAATTTGACATACTGAGCTCTGGTTTTATTTATAGTGTGGGGGATTTTTTTTTTTTTTTGCACACATCATATTTGATCTCATAATTAACTATGTTTAATCTGGAGATTTTACTCAGAGCAAGGGAGGACGGAGCTCTAAGCATTCAATCCCATATCCATTTCTAATCTGCATTAATCTTTCAGAGGTGTACTACCAGTTACTAGGTAGTGAGAGCTCACTCAAACTTTACTAAAATCAGTGGTAACATTACTTGGGCTCTGGGTTACCTAAAATTTCTACTTTCATTCTGGATTTTCTTTCATTAGAGCCAAAGAGTGCTTTAGTGATACTAGTTGTGCTTGTAAGATAAAGAGTTATGAAAAAGAATCATAAATGATTAAAGGTGTTCTTCAATCCACTGCACTAAGGAGTTTCTCTTCTCTTAGGTTTTAAATTAAGGCCTAAGCCTTTTGAAAATACAAAAGATGGATGAACTTCTGTTGCCCCAGCTTTTTGTGTTTATCCTCAGTCCTGAAGTCTGAGCACCCCGACCTGGCCAGAGCCCACCTCACCTGCTACAGACTTCCATTTCTATAATTTAAGTGTTAAAATACAGTTTAGGGGGCATGGTAGTGGATACTTGTAATCCCAGCACTTGGGAGGCTGAGGCAGGAGGATCACCATGAGTTCGAGGCCAGCCCGAACTACATAATGAGACCCAGACTCAATAATAACAACACCAGCAAAAACTAGAGCTTGCCTAGAAACTAAGATATACAGAAAGTTCAGGAAGTCTATCCTGAAGATGATACCACTGGCTGAATCTTTTTTATAACCAAAATGCCCTGACGAATAAACATGGAGAGCACTGCCTGTAGAGAAAAGGCCCATCTGGTACCATCCCAAGGGGCACCATCATGGTAGCAGGTGAGGTGGACACTGGCCAGGTCAGGGTGCCTCACAGACCACGCTGATGAATCTGGTCTGATCTTCCACACAGGGGAGTAACAGACCGGGGTGCAGTTTGGTCTCTCCTCTGGGCTACCTATAGATGGGTTAAAATCTAGGTGTCAGGCAGGGGTGAGGCAGTGGGTAGCAGGAGGCCTGGGGGAAATTCTGCAGTGTGTCCCCATCAAAAGAGGCAGTTACCCCCAGTTTCAGCTGATAGTTATCATGTGGGCATATGGGTCCTACAGTGTCAGATCTTATAATTTTCTAGAAAACTGGGAGCATGAATTAGGATTAGGATGTGAATCCTAATGGTTTTTATATGTTGGCAACTAATCTATTTAAAATATAAAATACATTCAACAAACAGAAATCAGATCAGAGACTATGACGTTCGTGGGCCAGTGGAATGTGGCCCATCTGTCTTTTCATACAGGATGGGTAGTAGGGGAGACCCCTGCAACAGGTGACCCAGCCTTAGATGCAGTTGTCCAGGCCAGCACGAATAAAGACCTGGAGCAGGGCAGTGTGTTAGTCACTTTCCCACCACTGGGAAACACAAAATACCCAGCACACCTGTCACTTAAAGAAAGAAAAGTTTCTTTTGGCTCACAGTTTTCTGAGAGTTCAGTCCATGATTGGTTGGCTCCAGGGCAGAAATGACACGGTGGGAAGGGATGGCTGAGTAAAAGTGCCAACACATGGCAGCTGGGAGGAAGACAGAGGAAGAGCTAGGGAGGAAGATGGCTTTCAGGCCGCTCCCCCAGTGACCACCTCTGACCTGGCCCCACCTCCTAAGAGCACACAGCGCTGAGCCTGTCAGCCCACTGAGGAGCGTAGTCGCCTGTGACCCAGCTACCTTCCAGAGCCTCATTTCTGGACACCGGACTCTGGGAGAACACACTAGAGCTGAGCCATAGCAGGCAGTGAGAGCAGTGCTGGAAGGAGCATGAACAGGTGTTTAGTGATTGGGCCGTGCAGAAGGAGACCCCGTGGTGATGGGCAGTTTATGGATCTGGTAACTGCACAGCAGTGTCACAGGGCTGGAAATGCATCCGTGACGGGTCAGGGCGTGCACACAGAAGCTGGTGGCGAGGCTGGAAGACGGCAGTGCCAGTCGGACGAGTGGAGCCTGAGTGGTCCAGTTGGTCCTGCCCAAGGCAGCCAGGGCCTGGCAGGCCCAGAGGTCCTTCTGCCAGGAGGAGGTTGGCTACCCGTGTCCTCCAGGCCTTGGGTCCTTGGCCAGTTTGTAGCCTGAGAGACTCAGGACAGAATTCTTCCCTCCTCCGCTTTAACTGTCCACCTGCTCCACTAAGAGTGCAGCAGGTCCTGTCACCTGCACAGTGGACGTGTACTGTAACTCCCTCAACTTCAACTTTTACTAGTGAATAATTATATGTAGAACTAGGGAATAAAACAGAAACTCATAGGTTAAGTCGTAAACCAGAAAAATAATATCTTGATTTTGTACAATACTTCCTAATTTGTGAAGAGTTGCTTATGTATATTTTCATATCTTTTGATTGTCCTTATTGAACACCCACCATGTAAATGTAGACCACACAAAAATCTTACTTCATCTGTGCAGTGACTTTTTGAGTGTTAGGGCTTATATGCAGATGTCCCCCACAGCCTCACACACTCATAGATGGGGCTTTTTAATGATGGCTGGATCTAGGACAGTTACGGCAAACCTTTTAGAGACAAGTACCCAGACCGCAACCCAAAACCCATTTATTTATTTCAAAATGTGAACATTGCGATTAAACCTGAATACTAAGGTTTTAGTTTAGAAAACACAACTCATACATTAGCATCGTTTGTCTTAAAAGAAAAACAAAATAATATGCGTACCATAGGTTTGCCACCACTCATCTAGGATTAAGGGTGCATGAGTACTATACCAGTTCACTGATGGGTTTAGCATAGTTCTGGGTATGGATAATGGCAAGGTCCACATTGGGTGGGCTTGTAGCCTGGATGGGACAGAAAGGGAAGGGAGGCTTGCTTTGCTGTGGATTCTTGCTGCCTGCTGCCTTCTGCCTGCCACGCCATGAGCTGTTTCTTCTCTATGATGCCCCTCTGGCATGCTGCTGCTCTGACTATGAAATGAAACACTACAGACTGTGAGCTGAAATACAGTTTTCCTCCTTTAACTTTGTGTGTTGGGTATTCTATCTCAGCAATGAGAAAAGTAAGACAAGGAGGTAGGTCTTACTGCTTTCATTATTTTTAAATGAGAAAAGCGAAGCTCAGGATGGTTAAAGAATCCAATTTAGTAAACCTCAAAACTGGGGTGGGGCCCTAGGCTTGTGGCTCAGAGACAGGGGTTTTCCTTCTGGAAGACCAGGCTAGTATTAGAGAAGAAGACAGAAGTAGTGTCAGTCAGTCCTCACCTGGCACATCAACCCTTTGATGCCCTTATACAGGCAAAAGGGTTTTGAAGTCCAGACCTTCAAGGAAGTTACATATTTTAAAAACCACCTGGTAATTTAGATGTTCATTCACATTTAGAAATCTCTGGTCATATCAAATGTTATGGTTTGTATTTAGATGTTCCTCCAAAGCCTCGTGCAATCATAGGTGGAACTTTTCCAGAGATGGCTGAATCAGGAGTGTGTTGTGCTGGGATTGATTCGTGGTGCAATGCTAGGATCAAGGGCACTAGGATCAAGGGTGTGAGTGCTACCTGCCCTAAGTAGCCTGGATAAGCTTTAAGGGATAGAAAGAGCTGTGGTCATCCCTTGTTGCTTTGCTACCTTCTGTCCACCGTGAACTGTTTTCCTCTGCAATGCCTGTCTACCATGCTACCCTGCCTTGCAGCCAGCCGATTATAGGCTGAAATCTCTACAAACTGTGAGCCAAATAAATCTCTTCCCCTTTAACTTTGGGTGGCTGTTTCTTTTGTCTCAGTAATAAAAGTAACCAAGACATTAACTTTAATACTAACCCAAAGCATTTTTAAAAACTCACTAGGAAATATAAATATTTATGAAAACTTCATCATCATTACTGTTTTTATGAGATTCTTATATTCCTAAGTTTTTAGATACCTGCATTTTATGATATTTAGGACTTTCTAGGTTGGAAAAAGAAAATTCCCAACCATGAACCTGTCAGCACATAGTATAAGAACTAATATAAATTACTGTACGTAAAAGACCTTTGTACGGTATTTACACTTCTTCTCTAGGATCAGGCAGGAGCACCACCACTAGGTGGAAGTGATCTCCTACAAATCCAGCCTCCTGCCCTAGAGAGTGAGTGGCAAGTTACTCCCCCTGGGTCTCCAGAGAAGGCTGTCTCAGCGGCTTGCTGCTTCGGGCCCAGCAGAACCAGTAGGCTAAGCATAAAGAAACCAAACATCTATCGGATTTTGTGATTAGAACTCACTGAGGAAGGAAAACATTGTCTTAGTTACTTTTCTCTCGTTGCTGAGACAAAATACCCAATGCCCACCATGAAGGAAGGAAAGGTTTATTTAGCTCAGTTTGTGGAGGTTTCAGTCCATACTCGGCTGGCTCCAAGGGAGGGTGGCACATGGCAGAGGGCAGCAGTTCATGGCTGTGGAAGACAGCAAAAGCAACAACAGCAAAAAAAGGGAGGCGCAGCAGCAAGCAGCCTCTTTCCGTCCCTTACATTGAATGCAAACTCGCTGCCCCAGGGCAGGCATAGCACTCACACCGTAATCCCAGCATTGGACTGTGAATCAATCATAAACTCTAGAAGCCTTCCCTATGACTGCATGAGTCTTTGGGGGGACATCCAGACACAAACCATAACACAATAAACGTCTCTGTTAGAACTTGCTTCTCAAAGGCCTCAGGACATTATTTACAATAGTCCAGAAAGCAGAAAGGCCTGAATTAGGCCCAAGCTGTGTGTCCTCTGAACCTTGGTCATAGCAGTCACAGTAATGACGATGGAGAGGTAGGTGTGACACACAGGAAGCTAAGCAGTGTTACTGGTACTGTCTGAGAGGGGGTTGTGATAAATCCTAGGTGTTGACTTGGACTGGAGTCTAGCAACCAATTGCCACTTGTTTCAGGAGAGCAAAGCAGTGGTTCACATCGAAGTGGCCAGTGGCGAAACACCTCACTGAGGACGAGTACAGGGAGCAGGCTGAGGCAGAAACAGCCCGAGGTCTGGAGGACCTGCGCCAGGCCTGCCGCCAGCCCAACTTCCCGACGTGGCTGGCCGTCTCCAGACTCCAGGACCCTAAAAAGTAAGCCCTGCTCCGCTGCTCCAGCCCCAGCTTATGTCCAAATTAATTTGAAAACAGTAGTGCTATGGGACAGGTGCTCAGCTCAGAAGCAGATGATGTGGAAGTTATCTGAACCATCTCTGTAGTACCCTGGCCCAGCAGTAGGAAGCCAGCGTCGGAGTAAACACTGATCTGCTGGCATGTATTGACCTGATGTGAGGTACTGACACTAAAATACTGAATAATAAATCTCAGTGTCAAAAACCCGAGACAAGAAGGGACAAGCAGCACGAGTGGTCCGTTCAGCTGCCTGTTTCTCTGCCCTTTCCCTGTGCTTGTCGAGTCTGCCATTCCCCGTTATTCCCAGAATAGAAATGCCGTCCTCTATCAAAACAAGGTCAAATTTCATTAAAGGGGCTAAGTAGCAAGGCCACATATTCTCTTCCATGTAAACTTTTCTGTGCTAATGTTAACTTTCTTTAAGAACAAAAAAAAATTGTTCTTAGATTTGCAGACTTTGTTCTTGGATCGAGCCACTTGTCGCCTAAGGAGGTGAGTCTGCACGAAGCGCAGTATGGCCTTGGAGGCGCCTTCCTGGAAGAGCAGCTTTTTACCTCGCGCCCGGATGGGCTCCCTGCGCATTGACCTGACGCTGGCGCGGACGTGGGCAAAGGGCAAGGGTGCTGCTGAGAAGCAGCAGCTGTGGAGAAGAAGCAGCCACACTGGGAAGGAAAATGGCCCAGGCTGTAAAGGACTTAGTGTTTGCGGCAAGTTCTGCCACCTGCTGTACGGGAGGCAGACGCCAAGCTTCCGTGACAGTCATTGCCCCCTGCCCTGAGTGAGGCTTTCCTTAGCAACAAGGAAGTCATGGTGCCTGCCAAGGGACAGCAAGTGTGACAGGTGCCTTGTAACACCAGGCACTTATCCTCTCTTAATCCCCTGAACCTGTGTCACAAGACGGCATTCCTCCCCCTGCACTTCATCAGTATCAGTGCTGGGGGAGGCGTGGGACAGGCTGTTTCCGTGTTTTGTACACAATTCTGGTGTGGGCCAGGGATTCAGAGGTCAGCACAGATTGGGGTAAGGTTAATCGAATCTACTGCAGGACCTCTCAGAGCCTTGACGCTGGTGTACACTGTGGCTCTCATCAAAGGGAAAAATCGTGGACGGTTTCTGACCGAATGTGACCACAGTGGCCTCTTTTATGAAGTTAATATTCCTTGGAACACATCATTGGAAAATGCTACCTGATGGTAGAATTGCAGTGTGGAGAAGGTAAACAACTTGTGGAGCACAGAGCTAAGCAGAGGCAGCGCTGGCAGAACTCCAGTCCGGGGCGTCCCCTCGCTCTGAGAGAGAGAAGCCGTCTTCAGACCCTCGCTGAGGGCTGGCCCTGCCGCCCGGGGCCGTGCAGTGTTGGCTTCCTTTTTATTTTTTACTGTTCAGCAGTGACCATCGGGCTATTTAACAACTGTGATAAAGAGAAACATTCCTTAAGATTATATTTTATAGTTTTGATAGGACTTCTACATACATTCATAAAGTCCAGAAGTTACAATTATTTTTTATATGTTGAAATTGAAGGCATTTAAACTTTTGAGTCATTTTTAAAAAGTTATTTAGCTATACATGTTTGTAATGATGTCCTACAAAATAGATGTGTGATATTTTTTACACAATTCTGTTTTGTTTCTTAACTCCTGATGTTATTAAACTCCAGAGCAAAATAAGGCCTGAATTCTGACCGGGAGGAAAGGAGTCCAAAATGGGTCTGGGGTGTGAACACAGAAGAATGATCTGTGGGCTGAGATGTAGCTGAATTGATTCTCCGAGAATCCAGCTCAGGCGTTTTTCTGATGGGGTCACGAAGGATGAGGAATTTCTCTTATTAAGAGAACAGTCCCGGGGGAGGGACCTATGGGAAATCTTGTCACTGTTGATTTCCTGAGCCAGATTTAGTAGCGCTTTTTCACCTTGTTAGAGTGCTGCTACTCAGAACTTGCTAGATTGATTTTCAAATGCTGTTTCCCCTTTGAGGCAGTATGTCAGTTTTTATAGTTCTGCTTTTGCAAGACATCTTTTAATACTGGGAGCCTTGCTTTTTTTTCTTTTACAAACCTCACTAAATTCACTTTGTGTCTTTTTATAGGCTGATTTTAAACAATCAGCACTTTTATAATGACGACTGTTTTACAGGTGTAAACAGCAGTTCTGCATCATTTTTGTTACGGTTGAATCTGATTTTATTTTTTATAATTATATTTATTGGTGATGTCAGCGTATGAGATACAGCGATGCTGGTGCTAACCCGACTCGCCTCCTGAGAGGCGCCTGTATCCTGCACGCTGCGGGTGGGACACGAGTGCCTGCGGGCAGGGGAGCGCCCGGCCCCACGCCATGCCGTGTGACCACCACAGGCGGAACAGCTCGCGTGGGAGGAGGACAGCCTTCCGGGATACTGTTTTTCATGTTTGTTTTTAGGACAGATCACAGATTTGCCGGTTCTGTTACATGAGTCCCGTGGGCAGTGAAACCATTAAAGGCATTACTGATATTTCGTGGTGTCTCTGAGTCGTTGTTGTTTTATTTCAGATTTAAGGCAGCACTGATTACAATTCAAAACCCTACGAGGTGATGTGCAGATTTTCCCCTCCTTGCCTTCCCGCCTTCCTTGTTTTCTCTCTTTCCTTCCTTCCCTCTGTCCTGTTAAAGGTCTTTTTTCTTTTTTTTTTTTTTTGGTGCTTGGAATAAAACTCAGGATCTTGTGCTTGACAGGCAGAAAGGAGTTTTGCTCTTTTTTTTTTTTTGGTACTGGGATTCGAACTCAGGGCCTCGCACTTACCAGGCGGGCACTTGTGCTGCTGAGCTCTATCCCCATCTCAGTGAAAGGTCTTGAAGCACTTTAAAGGCCCATGTAGTCTGATGGCCGTGCTGTCCCAGCTGGGCTGAAGCTGGCTTTGTGCTCCCCACCGCTATAGGTGGCCATGCTTAAACAATCATACCATTGAAATGTTATTTTTAAAAGGCTTTTTAAAATATTTTACATATCACAAAAAAGGCTTTGTGAATTTGTTATAAAATTTACCAATACTACTTAGGGCTGAATTACGGGGGAGTGTCCATCCCATCTGACATTTAGGACAGTATGTGTATGGCTTTTTTTAAAATCTGGAAATTTAAAAGATTTTAGAGTTTCAGAGGTTTGGAGTAGATGGTGGATTACATCGAGGTATCTAAGCAGACAAATGAATGAAGATCCTGAGATGATAGCAAGGGAAGAAACAGGATATGATGGTGAATGTATGTATGTGATTAGGCCCCAGAACTGGAGATGGGCAGTTGTTTAGAGTTTTCTTAAGTAGGATCCTATGCACAGGTGATGTGAATGGTGTTGGGATTCTGATGAAGCCTGAGTTAGAGAGAGTGCTAATTAGGTGACTCGGGAGCAAGCGGTGCCTTGAGGGTCCTTGCTGCGTGGCTTGGCGGTGATGAGGTAGCTGTTGGGCGACTCTGGACCTTCCTGACTCAGAAGTCTGATTTCTGCCATTGTCCCTTGAGAAGATCTGTCTCCCTTTAGCCAGCTTCGTGGTTTAGTCAGTCCGGTGAGTGATTCAGTCAAAAATATAACTGGCATGCAGCTAAAAATACGTGGCTTGACATGACTGCTACGTGTGCCGAAGACGGATTTGTGTGGGGTCAAATCATAAGAAGCTTCTGGTAAATGGGAAAAGGTAAAGGGAGTTTTTTTATATATAGTTCATTTCAATGTCAGGAGGCCAGAGTCCAGTGCAAACACCTCGTAGTGCGATGGCATTGCCAGCGGGATGAGATACCCGATCTTCCAGCAAAGCCACCCCTTCCTTTGTCCCACCCTGCCTGCATTTGCCTCTCTGTGACCGCTGATTTTCTACTCTTTATTCCTGACCCAGTGTCCTACCCCTTTCAGCAGGCATGTTTTTACGTAGGTGTGTTAAAATCTTCAGTCTTTCTGGCCTAAGAGTCAAATCATCTTTTAAAGGTAACTTTACGTGCTTTTACTATATCTAGGTGTGATACCTTCATCGGTCACCAGCAGTTTGGGGTGGGCATACTTACCAGGATCAGGCTTGGAAGGTGCTTTTAGTGGAATAGCTTCTTTGTATTACTTAAAGGATTCAGGAGCAGGTGTTTAGATTTTTTTTTAAGTTAGGGATCAAACAGACACTACCAACGTTTACTGCATTTGCTTTTTGTTGATACTTCTTAGAGAAAAAGAAAACGGAAATTTCGCAACAGTTGTCTTCCAGCGTCTCCCTCTCTGCCGGCCTTGTATGTTATGGAATTGTTGTTACTTGTCATTTGTCTTGTTATCTTCTTCGATTTATGTTTTGCTTCATTTTATTTCTTAAGTCGCATCTCCAGCCTCTTAGTGTTTGCAGTGCATACTGGCACTGAAAGGTTTACTGAACAGTATATTTCTCATGGTGCTACTTTGTATGGCATGATTATAAATGTGAATAGCAACAAACTACTCAGATTGAGGCTCTGGTTGGGGAAAGAGACAGCACCGCTGTTTCCGGGGCCTTCACCGCATGACTACATCTGTGGTAATGATGGCACAGGCGGTGTCAGCTATGTCATTTAAATATCAGAACCACCTGTAAAACAGACACTAAAATTACCTCAGTTTCACAGGCAGCCTGAGGCTCAGAGGGTTGAGTTTTAAATCCAGACACTCTGGCTGCAGAGCCCACATTCCCAGCGATAGCCCTGCAAGGGTTCCTGGGTGGCCAGGCAAGGACCGGGCTTTCCTGGAGACAGTGGGAAGATGGGAGCTGGGTGAGGCGGCTGCCCACCTAGACTGGCTCACGCGTTCCCATCCCAGACAGCACTGAGTTTCCAGTGCCTTCCTTAAAAGCCACAGCTTGTCCCAGCAGAAAGTCTGACGCCTTCTCGCCTGAGAAACCACTCCTCTCACACCCCCCGCTTTCTGTCCCCATGCACGCATCAGTCTCCCCGCTGCCTGATGGCTTGGGTTCCGGAGCCTGGTATTCTTCAAGCTTTCCTGAAACCGCACAGGAGTGGTCTGGGGCTCCAGCAGTAGTCTGCTCTGATGCACACGGACGAACTTCTGAATGGAAATTTTTCATCCTTCTGGTGCATCTCGATCACAGCATACCCTCATCTTCACAGAATGTTTCGGTTCGGCCTCTCCTGCAGAAGTTGAGGAAACTGAGGCCCAGAGGTTTCCCACAGGTGATCTCCACATGTGTTGTCCAATACGGTGGCCATGAGCTGCATGTGCTGTTCAAAGAAATGAAGTCCTCAGATGCACTTGCCCACATCGCGAGTGCTGTGTGGCTGCCTGTGGCGCATGGCTTCCATGTTGGGCTGCACAAAGAATTTCCATTCTAGAAAGTTCACCCAGACTGTGCCGTTCTCTGGGGCTGCTGCCTGTGACACATCTGCTTGCCCTTCCCAACTCCAGGGGCACCGGTCTTAGGGTCCCTTCCCACCTCCAGCTCTTCTCTGCAGAGCTGCCATAGTACAGAGGGTCTGGTGTTATCACCATTAACAAAACATCAGAAATTTGAAGGTGTTGGATTTTTTGTTACCCAAAGTACCCAGAAATCCTGTATAGGTGATAACCACACACCCGTTTGAGGCATATATGAGTTTGAATCCTAGCTTGGTGATTCTGTAACCTAAGCTAGTGGTGGCGAACCTCTTAGAGCTTTCAGTGGTACAAACAGTTCACTGCAGCACACATGCCATAGGTTGCCCACCACTGACCTGAGCTCTGTTAGCTTCAGAAGCCTCATTTAAAATGGGGATAGTGAAAGATACCACCTCGGCTTCTTGTAAAGATGGAATGATAAGCTCGTCAGCACACAGCAAGCACTCAGTAACCGTGGATGCGGTCCCTTTCCCAGATTCACTGCCCAACTCCTAGCTGGTTGGGAGGAATGTTAAGCAGTGCCCCCACAGGCACCCCAGGAGCCCCCGCAGCACTAGAAGGAAGTGTAAACCAGGAGGAAGCTTCCAGCCAGCTCTGCTTCACGTGGCCCCGGCGGCACTGGTCGGCCAGGAAAGCAGCAGTGTTCTGAGCTCCTCAAGCTTTACGGGGGTACTGCTACTGGAGTGTATTGTCATCTGTTCTCCTGCTTAAGGTATAAGGAATAGCTTCATAATTAGCAGCTAGCTCTTTGGATCCACACAAGCTCAGCACTGGGCAATTTACTATTTCTACAATCACAGGAAAAAGTAGGAAAGAAGTCATTAAGGCAGTGATTACTGGCCTGGGCTTTGTGACACGCCTAAGTATTTCTAGGGATCTCCAGAGGGGGTATAAAATTCTCCAATCAAAATTTAATGTGAATTCACTTTAATATATCTTAAAGTGGCATGTGGCACTTTGAGGACAGGAGTAACAAGTCGCGAAGTCCATAAACTTACGAAGGTGTGAGCTCAGAAGGCTGGAAATGACTGCATTACTGGGTCGGTTCTCACAGTAAATGTCGCAGCAAAGGCATGTTGAGTTTGGTCTCAGTCATTACAGAGGAAAGGACTGTCACTTGTTTGCTCACATCTTTATCATCTAACCAATATTTAAAAATGGTATTTATTTTTATTTCAATATGTGCACTGTGCATTTCCAAAACAGCAGGCTTTTCAGAGAATTGTAAACACAAGATACAATATAAATTTTTCACTCCCTACGGTCAGCTTCACAGAGCCATATACTGTACATTCACAGGTGGGGTTCAGCCCATCACCACCTTCTTTATTTTAGTAATTACACAAGCATAATAAATACATCTGATTTTAAAGGTCACTTAAAATGAGTCATGATAATTTACAGTACAGTACGTTTCAGTTCAAGTGCAAAAATAACTATTTGCTTAATTCTCTTTCCTTCGGGTACTTTATCTGTAGGCTGCGTTTTGTGATGAAGCTCGAATTTTTTCTCCCAGATGCAGGACTGGGGAGAAATACCATGGGTGAGCCTCACTTTACAGCTGTGCCCCTCTAAGCAGGGCCAGAGGCTGAAGTGAGTTGCTCCTTTCTGACTGCTCTTCCTCTGTCTTAGGCTCTTCCACAGCTACGATGCACAGCAGAACTGACCTCCGTTCAGCTGCAGCAGCGATCCTTTCCCTCCCCACGTGCCACGAACCTCCCCTTTCAGTCTCAGGAGCAAGCTTCCCGCGTGCTTCCCCAGCCATTGTTCCGACTGCAGCTGTAACATGCACAGTCGCATGCGTGAATCTGAACTATCCAGTGCCTGACTGTATCTTAGGAAAGAACGTACTGAGTCTGATTTCTGCAGTCCGCAGACAGCCCTTGTTCCCATCTTCCCATGCCCGGTTTCCTTTCTGCCATCTCACCAACAAAACACTCACTGTGTGATTGTTAAAAATCACATCGTTCCCCAGGCACTGAAACCCTACACTGTTCTTTGTCAGTGGTACTGCTCAGGTAAAGGAAGCCTTTGGAACGTAATGATTTTTGTTTTATTCCATCAATTAACGAGAGCCCAGATCACTACAAAACAGCAAACCGTGATGAAGGCTATCACAGTATCACCGTATTCTGTACACCCTTGCCCACGAAGCCACAGGATACTGCATTGGTGGTGGTTTTTTTTTAATATTCCTTCTTGTCTGGTCCTTCTGAAAGCCCATTTAAAACAAAAGGCATTTTTAAAGCTCACCTCAGCTTGCAGCAGTTGGTAACAGCTGTTGCTGCTCAGACTTGACTATTTTCATTGTACATACATATAGAAAAATATATTTGCTCGAGATATGTAGGGTTTACGAGGAAACTTAGCTTTTTTTCAAAACAAAAAGCATCTATGAACTTTTTATCTGCTTGCTTTTTAAGTGTTTTACAATTTTTAAATGGTTCTCTTCAAGGGAAACACGATTATAGATCTACTGTGTTTCTTCCCAGTTTGCATGAAGAAGCCAATAATCGGAATAAATAATGGGGATGGGGAAATTATACCAGGTGCACCTGGAGAGGAACGTGCGCATACCCTGCACTTGCGGTCCCTGGGGTTCGCACCCTACTGCGCCGGCAGAGCCCTCACACAACCAGCCCAGCCTGGGGTCCTCACCGAGTGTTTCCTCCTGCCCTCCACCAGATGACAGGGTGACCTTCCTGCCAGTGTGTACTGTAGCTCAGGTGTGTGTGCGCGCGCGCGCGTGTCCACGTTAATGAGTTTAGATATTCAGAAGCGTATGCAGCGTGTTCTGGGTTGGGGGCCCCGCCTCTGTGCTGGCCAAGGAGTTCAGTTCCGTGCAGGTGTGAGAGGAGCAGGACGCCCTCAGGGCCCTCCTGCAGCGGGCTGAGCCCCAGTCTCCTCAGTGCGCCCACCTGCGGGGTGGGCGGGGCTGCTCTGCGGTGGAGATGCCGCTACGGCAGGGGAGGGCTGGTCTCTAGGTGGGTCAGAGTGGGTCTCACGAGGCACATGCCGGGCTCCGCTTGCAGGAGAGTTTTCCTGATTCTCACTGGTCACCTGGAAGGAAGACACAGATGTCCAGCCAGGAGGCCCAGCAAATAAGTGGAGCCCTTAGCATACAGCACACACAGGGAGACCAACTTGAGAGGCTGCTCCAGGGACCCAGGAATAGAGGGTAAGGAGAGAACGGCTTACCTTTCATCTCTTTTCCCATGTGCAACTGCCAGAGCCGCATGAAAAACACAAACACTATAAGCAGACGTGTCTTGTGGGTAAAGGAACATGATCACCCCAGTACCTGGCACTGCCGCGCCAGACATTCACAGTATTACTGCACGCCCGGCCACACGGCAGGTCCCTGAAACCAGGCCTCTTGGTGAGACCACAGAATCCAAGAAGTGAAGACGCTTGTCTAATTAAAGTAAATAAGGGTTACTCTCATCCTGGAGAGAGCTAGAAAATAAGACAGAATATCTACGTGGAAGAAGGAATGTGACAAGCACTTCTGCAACTAACGGTAACTGTGAGCAGACGCACACCAGTACCTAGTTATGAAACGCCATACTGGTGTTACAAGTCAGGAAACACGAGTTTCTAAAAATGGTTTCCTCTAAATTAGAACGCATTACTTTCCAGTGGGTGAATACCCAAAGAAAAAAAGTTTCCATTTTTGTGTTTGATTCCGAAATGTAAAAAAAACCTTAAAAAGTTTTCAATGCTACATAAATTTAATAAGCTCCTATGCCGACAAGGGTGCGTGTGCAAAAGAAAACACCGCTGCTCGCGCAGGAGGTGCCGCCCTTTGTCCTGCTCACAGCCCTGCTCCAAGCGAGTGAGCCCTCCAGGCCTTCCTCAGCCCGCAGTGTCCAGTTCTGGAGCGGGCAGAGGATTCCTGAGTTGATTATCTTGATAAACAGACGGTCATGCATGGGCTGAAGAATTAGACCGGGTTAAAATTATATGGAGACTTTATGTTAGTTTACAAAGTCAAGATAAATGCAACTCAGGTACTTCAATAAGCTTTCTAAAAAGGAATCTACTCCAATTCCTCTTTATTTTTAGTCTTTCCTCTTTTTTTTTTTTTTTTCTTCTGGGTTCTCTTTTAAACTACCCTAAATATAGAGCTAATGTGACTCATCAAGTAAAAGGGAGAGATGAATTCAAAAAGCGGGAAGTGGGTTTATTCCCGTGGCCAAAGTTTCACTGAAGTCATACTTACTTTCCCAAGTCACAGTGCAGTTTAACTGTGCAAGTTACTAGCGTTCTCATTCTTCTGGGGGCAAGAAAAAATCACACATTTTTACTTTTCAGATGAGCCCACCACAAAACCATACTTCCACGGAGCTAGGTATCCTTCAGAGCCCTGTGGTGGTTCAGGTTATTCTCTGACCTAATGTAAGAGACAGTTACTGCATTCCTGATTTATAAACTCCCGCCAGAATTCTGGAATTAAACTAATAAACCTAATCCCCCAAAGCAAGAACCATATATTCTCACTAAAACTGGTATCCATTAACACTGAAATTTGTAAGAAATGTATAAGGTTAGAATGGATTTATTGATTATTTCAAGAATTACTATCCCTACTGTGCAGCCTCCCTGGGTTCATAAGTCAAAATTTTCCCTCCAGGGGACCTCGTAAAAACCCCTGTGCACAGTTATCACAGTGTGCTGGAACTCTGCACAACTATTTTTCCCACCAGAATGAATACATCTTGATGGATGAAAAGTCATTCACTGAGCATCTTCCGCAAAGGTAGCACTGCCAGCCCAGCGGGGGAGGTTACCTGTAAAGGCTGGATCTCAGAAGCCCGGTTTTCTCTTGTCAGCTGCATCATCTCTTTAATTTGGTAGAGTGCGTAGACGAAGGTCACCCAGGGAGAAGAGCTGACCCCCCAGGCTGGTTTGCTCGCATCCTCCTGCTCTTCCTGGTGCTTGGTCTTCCTGGGCGGAAGTCTGGGCTCAGTGCGTGGCATGACGTCTTCTGTCTGTTGCTGCACCAAGTCGATGGTTGCTATGGGAACAGGGCTGGAGGGAACAGGAATCCTTTCTGCCAACATTGTCTTATCTGGAGAGAAAATGGTGTTTAAATCACTTTTCAGGGTTTTCTACATATTTAAACAAAGGTACAAAATAATAAGCTGGGCACATGTAAGCCCAGCTACTCAGGAGATTGCAAAGGGGGAAAAACCAGTTTGGGTCTCCTTTTCTGACGAACTCATTGGGATTAAAATCCATCTCTGCAACAAGTGAGTTTTCTCTGAAGAGAAGCACTTCCGGTACTTGAGACCCGCGCTTCCCCAGGACCCCTAGGAAGATGAGCCCTGGGCTGAGGCCAAAGCACTGAGCGCAACACATGCTTTCTATTGGTGGGTCTTTTTCACTACAAAGTTGATTTGTCATGCTCTCATCCACACTTCACATTTAATATCATCTGCTTTTCCTATAATAATTGTAATGAAGGTCATGCATAGCTCAGAGAAAACTTCAAATTTCAGATTTAGATTTTCTTTGGAAACGAACGCTAAAGGCACAGAGAGTAATACCACTCCCTACCCCAGCAGTAAAACTGCTGTGAACCCTGACGTGTATTTGACTGGAATTTGAAATCCTTTTAGCCTACTACCAGGGAAATTTAAATCAATACTTCCCTAGTACTTTGTATGATAAAATAAAACAAGCAAATCCGAAGCTACTGAGCCAACAATGTTTTTTCCTGTGTAGTAGGTAGCTCCCCGCTCAGGTGGCACGCATGGGTCCACTGGTACATCACTGAGAAAACCCAGCCAGGGCACTGGCTTTCCACAGAGCGGTCCTCATGGTCTGAGCCATGAGAAGTGTCAAGAAGAAGGGGAATGTTTACCTTCCTCCTCATCTGGCACTGCCAGCCACTGGATCAGGGCAAAGAGCAGGAGGATCACCAGGCAGGCCATGCCAATTCCCCGGAAGGTTGCAGCAGCCCCTGTGGAGACAAGCAGAACATGCTACAGAGACATTCCCGGAGGTGCAGAGAGCCCTCCTCCACAACTTGGTGTCCTCAAGTGCGGGGCAAAGGAAGCACAGCTTTCAATGAGCCTGAGAGAAGTGCCCTTCCACAGGCTCCAGGCAATGGTAAAAGCTCAGGGCTGGAGCGGTGCTGGGAGCCCCGGGTGCTGTGGTGCTGTCACTGATCCAAAGCACTGTCAGCGAGTCCTGCACTCGTGACACACAGTACCCAGGGGCTCCGTCGTCTTTACAAAGACCGCTTCCTACTGTTAACACACAGTCCTGCTAATCTGTAGTTTTGGAAGGCAGAGCTTCAATAGTACTATAACTTCTCATGTCCCTATGCAGTGACCGAGGAGTCAAGAACCATGGAGTACAATCATCTCATTCCCACCTTAGCCCTGTATTTGCAATAAGGGAGACTGGGTAAGATCAACGGTGTCATACAGACGCACTGGCAGGATCCAAGCCAGCCTGCAGTCAGCTTTTCCTAATTCAGTCTCCTGATGGAATAACAGCAATGAATTTTCTTTCCTTTAGCATTATTGTCAGCAGGTTTAGGGCACCTTGCTTTAAACCAAAAGCACATGTGCTTATTCACTGGGGCGCGGTGGCTTCTCGGAGATAGCTGTATATCTCTCCTTAAACTGCCAAGGCATGGGCACAGTTACGGCTGGCTCCTGTCATCTTAACAAACGAGGCTCGTGCTTTGTAATTATGACTACCAGGAAACTTAGAGAACATAAATACTGGAGTTTAGCTTCTGGCAATCTTCGGCAGTAAGTTCAGTGTTTATTGAGGGACTGCTGAATAATCACATCGTTGCCAGAGACAGAGACAGAGAGAGACAGAGAGAGAGA